CCCTGGCCAAGTACTGGGTGTCCGGCTTCGGCTGGCCACAAGGAAGGGTGGTCCGCCAGGCCTTTTGGCCAGGAGGACCAAATGGGAACCTTGTCCCTGTCAGGAGCTTCGTGCCCCGGGGGATCAGGGTAGTGGTCCATCCCCTTCGGGGGAAGGACAAAGCACACCCCTAAGTGCACTTTTTCATGTGGTGTTTTGCACTTGCACTTTTTTTGTGAACACTTACGGGTTTTTTCGTTATAGTTGCACGTTTGCGGACTTAAAAAAAAAAAATAAATCAGTATTGCAGATAAACAGGTACAACTTATGTAGGCGACTTTGCTTCATCTCTGTGAATAATGTGAGGCTAGTCTCTTCACTGGGTATATGTAAGGGTTTACAACCACTTTAAATACAATTACAAAAATATGTGAGAAAGTGTATAGAAATGTTAAAGCCACATCACGAATGTCCAGGGGCGGACTGACCATTTGGAAACTCAGGCTCCGCCCGAGGGCCCGGGGTCAGTAGGGGGCCCCATGAGATACCCCTGGTACCTTTTTCATAGGCTTTTTTTAGTTTCAGCAAGGACACAGGGGCCCCATGATCCCCTATTGCCCCGGGGCCCCATGAGTTGTCAGTCCGCCCCAGCGAATGTCACAATGAGAGCAAAAAATATACACTGATTAGAAATACATTATACTGTCCCTTTAAGAGAAGCAACGCTTGAGTGGTCTTCATATACAGTAAATCAGCCCTGTAATTGGTACTCTGCTAAATACGGACCCCGTGTAGCAATTACCCCGGGCATTATTCTATTACCATCGAAGTATGGCTGCAGTAGACGCATCAATGGCATGTGCCAACATCCTGGCAATCGATAGCAGGCCCCTCGCCGCATTCACACCAGATCATAACGTTTGACACAAAACATTTTAATCTCGCCTCCTTTCAGCACAATGCAGTTGATCAGCATTACACATGGAGTTGGTTAAGTGAGAAAGTATTGGATTTCCAGCAGTAGTCTAAGCACTATCAATTACTGCACGCTGTGAAAAACTGAAGACAGTAGGCAGTAATGAAACTGTACGAGGAAAGAAGCAGCTTGACACTCCGCTCTGGTGGCAGAGGCTGCACCACGCGCCCCAAGTGTGTGTTATATTTAAAGAGGAACTCCAGGCAGTTAAATACACAAGGAAATTAAATATGCAATTCGTCTCACATGCCAAAGAGCATGTTATTCTGTTCAGCCAGTCTTGTGATCCGAGCATCATTGCTGGATAGCGCATTTGGTGACCTTACATTTCTTTACTGCAGTTAAATACTACAATTTGGTCACTGACCTGCCCCCAGTCTGCTGACAGGACAATGATGAAAAGCAGCACGCTGAGGAGGTTGGCCCCTCTTTCAGTGTGTGTTTAGCAGCACTGTGCATTGTGAACCTTTATAACTCTGAGTACTGCATACACACAAGTTATAAAGCACTGTGTGCAATACATGAAGCAAAGCATGCAATATAGAGGCATGAATCACTGCGTGCAGTAGAGAGGTAAGAGGCACTGTGCAAAATATAAGTAGGAGGCGCTGCATACAATACAGAGGTATGAAGCACTGCATGCAGTAGAAGCATGAAGCACAGCGTGCAATATAGAGGCATGAAGCACAGCATGCAATATAGAGGCATGAAGCACTTTATGTAGTAGAGAGGTAGGAGGCACTGCATACAATAGAGTCATGAAGCAAAGTGTGCAATGTAGAGGCATGAAATACTGTATGCAGTAGAGAGGTAGGAGGCACTGTGTAATATTTAAGTAGGAGGCACTGCATTCAATACAAAAGACATGAAGCACTGCATGCAGTAGAAAGGTAGGAAGAACTGCATACAATACAGAGGGATGAAGCACTGTGTGCAGTACAGAGTCAAGAAGCACTGTGTGGAGTACAGAGGAGTGAAACGCTGCCTACAGTACAGAGGCATTGCATGCAGCACAGAGGCAGGAGGCACTGCATACAATAGAGGCAAGAAGCACTGTGTGCAGTACAAAGTTGTAAGGCACTGCGTGCAGCGCAGGAGTTGGTGGCACTGTGTGTAGTTCAGAGGCAACAAGCACTGCGTGAAGTATAGAGGCATAAGGCACTGCGTGCAGCACAGAGGTAGCAGGCACTGCATACAATAAAGAGGCAAGAAGCACTTTGTACAATAGAGAGGTATGAAGCACAGAGGTGTGAAGCACCCTGTGCAATACAGGAGTAGTAGGCACTGTGTAATACAAAGATATCGCAAACATCACAGTCAATGCTACCTCTTAAATAATAAGCTCCCTGAAGAGATGGGTTTTCAGGGTGCGCCTAAAGGAGAGGAGAGTAGGTGATAATCTGATGGGTTGGGGCAGGGAGTTCCAGAGGATGGGTGACACCCTGGAGAAGTCCTAGAGGCGGGCATGGAGGAGGAGACCAGGGAACTAGAGAGAAGGAGGTCTTGTGAGGAGCGGAGTGTGCGTGCTGGGTGGTACTTGGATATTAGGTCAGTGATGTAGTTCGGGGCAGTATGGTGGACAGCTTTGTACGTCAGCGTTAGGATTTTGAATTTGATCCGTTGCGCAATCGGAAGCCAGTGGAGGGATTGGCAGAGGGGGGTGGCGGAGATGGAGCGGTTGGAAAGGTGAATGAGTCTGGCAGCCGTACTCAGGATTGACTGAAGCGGGGATAGCCAGTGGCAAGGCAGGCCAGTGAGGAGGGAGTTGCAGTAGTCGAGTCGTGATATGATGAGGGAGTGGATGAGCTGTTTAGTGGTTTCTGGGGTTAGGAACGTGCGTATTTTGGCGATGTTGCAGAGGTGGAGTCTGCACGAGTTTGTTAAAGATTGGACTTGGGGCTGGAAGGATAGGTTGGAGTCCAGAATGACACCAAGTACTCTGGCCTGCGGGGCGGGTTTGATGGTGGCGTTGTTGGATGTGATGGAGAAGTCAATGGGGGGTGGTGTCCGGGCTGGGGGGAAGACAAGAAACTCGGTTTTGGAGAGGTTCAGTTTAAGGAAGTGGAGCGACATCCAGTCAGATTTGTCGCTCAGTAGGTGTGTGATTCGGGTGGAGACTGAGGTGGTGAGGTGGGGGGTTGATAGATTTGTGTGTCGTCGGCATATAGGTGGTAGTTGAAGCCGTGAGAGTGTATGAGTTGGCCAAGGGAGGAGGTGTAGATGGAGAAGAGAAGGAGCCCGAGAACGGAGCCTTGAGGGACCCCAAAAGAGAGGGGGGGAGTGAGGGGGAGGTGGTAGCATTATAGATAACGCTGAAAGAGTGTTGTGACAGGAAGGATGAGAGCCAGGAGAGAGCAGAATCTCTGAGGCCGAGGGAGTGTAGTTTTTTGAGGAGGAGGGGGTGGTCGACTGTGTCGAAGGCCGCAGAGAGGTCAAGGAGTAGGAGCACTGAATAGTGGCCATTAGCTTTGGCGGTTAGCAGGTCGTTGGAGAGTTTGAGTAAGGCAGTTTCGGTGGAGTGTAGGGGACGGAAGCCGGACTGTAGGGGATCGAGGAGGTTGTTGTCGTTGAGGTGAGAGCGTTGAGGTGAGGTATGACCATTTGTTTTCAACTCACGCCGCCCATTGACATTCATTGAAACTGCACTCTAGCCACCTCAAATTTGAAGGACAATTTCTAAACTGCGACTGTGCCTTCTGGTGGAGGCAAGAACACGTCACACAATTTCACCAGAAATTGTAGCTTTTCTAGTTTGAGTTATTGTTGCCTTTCTGTCATCTCAAACCAGTCTGCCCATTCTCCACTGACATCAACAAAGCATTTTCATCCACACAACTGCTGCTCACTGGATATTTTCACTTTTTTGGACCATTTTCTGTAAACCTTAGAGATTGTTGTGCGTGGAAATCCCAGTAGATTAGCAGTTTTTGAAATACTCAGACAAACCCATCTGGCACCAACAACCATGCCATGTTCAAAGTCATTCAAATCCCCTTTCTTCCCCATTCTGATGCTCAGTTTGAATTTCAGCAAGTTGTCTACACGCCTAAATGCTGCCATGTGATTGGCTGATTAGCAATTTGTGTTACCAAGCAATTGAACAGTTGTAACTAATAAAGTGGTCAGTGAGTGCTTAAACAGGCTGGGCTCACAGGAAATAGGCAGAATGATGGGAGCGTCATTCTGCCCAAAGTGGTTGGACCAAGGAGGAAGTTGGGGACAGCGCTGAAGCATGTCTCCAAGAAAATTGGCCATCTATGTATCTATTTTTCAAATGGAGGAATGGGGTGGGGGCTAGGAGAAAGAAACCAAAAATGCAAAAAATGTTTTTTGGGTATTCCACTTTAAGGAACATGCTCTTTAGATGGCTATAATTGTAATTTGTCAAGAATTCAAATAGCTTTTGCTACCCCTGCATTAACAAAAAAACTTTTAGACAAGAACTATAGTCTCTAGCAGATTTTTAAGCCATTCCTTTAATATCCCCTGTACAAAAGAGGAGGCACACCATTGGCAATTTGCAGCATTTGATGCTGCCAACGTACTTGACTAGTAAGACGCAACTTGTACCAATGGTCTTGATCTCGAAGACTCCAAGTCAACAACCGTACATTGAGACCAGAAACCCTGTCGGATTAAAGCATACCACAGTCTTGAACGACACAGCAAAAAACCCAGTTATCAAAAAAAGAAGCATTACTTTTTTTTACATGAAATACTATATATCAATTCTGTGTATAAAAATGTAAAATTATTACAAAAAAAACCTCAGTTTTTTGGGTATACTAAATGCACTGTCTCCTGCCCAGGGCTTGTCGGGGCTTGAGGTCACTCCACCTTACATCTCCACATTGGTCCATTTAAGCTTTTGAATACTGTAATCCAAAAATGATGCTGGTTATGTTTGCATAGTTTTTCCATTTGCATCCAACAATAAAAACCTTGTCCATGTCAAACTTAATTTAAATAGTGTCCAAGGTTTTTTTTTGGTCGTTTACAGATTCCATGTAGAAAAATGTTCGAGGTATTCATCACAAAAGAATCCTCATTCCCTTCCGTGCGACCCAACGTAGACAATCACTCGCCTTTCGTAAACTCTCTTCATCGTCATCTCAATCTGTTTAAGGAACACCTGTGGGATTCGGCCACACAAAGTGTGCACGCTCGCTAGGAATTTGGACTGCAGTGGATAGTACATTTCCTGGTAGAGGTTTCCATCAAATGGGTACTACATGGGAAGAAAAGGAAGGTTAGAGGCAACAAGGAGGATCCCAATGAAAAAAAAATACAAAAAACTACAATGATAGTAGATCAATACCAGCAGATGATTGCAATGAATATAAAAAAAATGTAAGTTGCTTGTCAATGAGAAAGCTGAACCTGGGACAACTACCCAGATGAAATTAAGTTTACATTAGAGTCTCCCCATCAACACAAAGTACCCTCCATCACAAAGTCCTCATCACATCCGAGTCCCCCCAACACACAGTGCCTATCACAGAACCCCCTTCACGCTGCCCCCCCGTTCATTCAGTCCCCTCTTCACCTGTCAACCCCACCTTTAGGTTTCAACAACAAGGCAGAGAGCAGGAGGTGGGGGAGGCTGACTTATGTCCTCTCCTGAATCCTGGGGATGGACCAGCCACTATCACCCTAGCAATGAATGACACTATGGGAGCAGGGGCGGACTGACAACTCATGGGGCCCCCGGGTAATAGGGGATCATGGGGCCCTTGTGTCCTTGCCCAAACTCAAAAAAGCCTATGAAAAAGGTACCAGGGGCATCTCATGGGTCCCCCTAACGACCCCGGGCCCTCGGGCAGTGCCCGAGTTTCCAAATGGTCAGTCCGCCCCTGTATGGGAGTTATCTACTAAAACTGGAGAGTGCAAAATCTGGTGCAGCTTGGCATAGAAAACCAGCTTCCAGGTTTTACTGCCAAAGCTTAATTGAACAAGCTGAATTTAGAAGCTGATTGGCTTCCATGCACAGCTACACCACGGGGAAAAACTGTTGCTGTAGCTGCTTAAAAAGTGTCAGCTGTAGATTAGTTTTAATTTGTTAGTCAAGTCCATCTAAGTCTGGTCATAGATTGATTTTTTTTTTTTTATTATTTTTTTTAAATAAAGAGACAGATTCCACCATCCACACAAGCAAGGTGGATGGAGGAATCTACTGTAAATCTGCTAGTCTACCACTACCCTCAGACTGACAATGCTGCTGTCCAAAAGGTGTCACCATTGCTCCACCAGTGGAGTGGAGACACCCTAAGACAGGAGGTGTGTTACTGGCCTGTCAATTTTAGGAATTGGTAAGCTACAATATTGTAATTTTTTTGTTTTTTTACCGCTTTAAATGGCTTGTAAATATAATGCAGGCATCTAAAATAGCTTGTTGGAGAACCCCAAAGAACTCTATATTACCAATAAAGCCCTCAGCTTCTGATGTAATGCTTAGCCCCCTACTACATTGTACTGACCCATAATGATGGTGGGTGACCCAATAGGTCAATAGTGTTGTGTTGCTGTATTCTTAAGGGCCATACATGGATCAAAATTCCACCAGTTCAGCAGGGACTGGACGAATTTCGATCCATGTAGGGGCAAGCTAGTTGTACACAAGTACTATCGACTATCAACTTATGTACAACCAGACTGTCAGGTTTTTCCCGAACAATTACTGCAGCTGGCAGCACTGATCATTCTGTTTTGCTGGCAAGGAAGGCTTTCTGCCGACAGAACACAATAGCCTTGCGGAAGAGATTCACTGGTGGTGGAAGGAAAGAAAATTGCATAATGGATGGCCTGCCTAAATTGATAAAAACAGGATGAGAAGAAATTTGGAGCCATAGCCAAAACACTGGAGCCTTTTTAGCAACACATTCACTGGTTGGGAGACATTTAAAGCAATACTTACATCTCGTAACACTTCATAGAAGGCTTTGAACGCTGGCTGTTTGTCATCATGGTACACTCCTCGGTTGCCATGAAGAATGGATACACCGTCTTCTTCTGCAGACTTACAATTGCTGCCATACATGCAGTGGTCCGGCCTATAATTCCACTGGCATGGGAATATATACAGGTTCTCTGGAACAGAAACAAATATTTGTGTGCTACCTACACAGACATAAGAAGGCAGTCTTAACCGGCAATACAGGAGTCAAATGCCGAAATAATTTTCTTTCAAAAATCTTTTCTAAGAATTTTTGTTCGAATTTCGCACCATTAGTGGGCCAATTTTCATGCGACCATTGAATTTGAGTGATCGGGTATGTTGGAAATTTTTTGAAAAATGAACAAAATTCTAATTAATGATGGGAGAATCGTGCGAGAATTCAAAAAAATATACGAGCCTGAGCTGTAACATGAGAAAAGAAAATCTTGACCATGAAAATTCTTTTCTGTAGCAACATAAGGTGAAATTGAAGGCTTGGTTGGTAGAATTTCAAAATCAATAGTGGCACCATCGGAATACAAAACGCACAAAATTTCCGATTTTCTAAAGACAATATGTTCAGAATTCGGCCCATATATGGCCTGCATTAGGGTCACCAAATACATTCCAATCTGACCATGCAATCAACTTTAAAATTATGTGGGCCAAATAGAACCACCATGATTTATCTATCATGCTATTCACCCAGAGGTCAACTTTGCTTGAATCAACTTTGCTTGAATCATGGGGGTTCTATTTGGCCCACACTAAGTCCTTACACAAGAGGGTAACATTCCCCCTTTGTTGACTCCTATGTCAACCTATCTATATAAAACTGTGGGTGTGTCAGGGGCTGATCGCTATTTTTCATAGAAGAATAATTGATACGTTGAATATTTTGCCTGCAGATTTTAGTTGACATACTGTACAGAGATGGTGGCCTCTGTTTGACCCATGTCCACCCACTTTTGTGCATGGTGTTTATTTGCACAGCCATATTGATCTATTTTTTCTATACCCATTGTCCTGATGAAGCAATGTCCATGTGAAACTCGTTGACATCTGGATTTGGACAAGATCACCTGTATTATCACCTGTATACAGATTAAGGATTATATATACCATTAGAAGGGTTTGGTCTACAATCCAGTATTGGGTATTGAATTTGCATATTGTACATTGGAGATCTTTGGTTATGTCCCCTTTCTTTTAAAATGTTTCTTTTGTTTCCTTTTGGGCTATTTTAATGAACATGTAATAAAGTTGTGAAATTTTGTATGGTTTTGATGTCTCATGTGGTGCCAATAAATCCGTATGCTTATTGTAACAGGAATTTACCTCTTCTCTGTTCCATTCTCTTTATTTATTGATATTTGAATGTGGCACTGTGGAAGCCCCTATGATATACATTTCCTTACTTATGTACATGCAATCACTTTACTGAAGACACTCTGTAAACAAGATCATGACTGCGGATTTTGGATTTAAAAAAACGGTATGAGGAAAAAAACTGTTAATATTTATTTTTATCCTAAAGTACACAGTCATTAAAGTAAACCTCAGTCATTAACACAAAGTTATGTTCTCAACTTGCTAGGATAAATTAAAGGGATGGTAAAGGATTAAAAAAAAAACAAAACAAACATGTCATACTTATCTGCTCTGTGCAACGCTTTTGCACAGAAACATCCAAAATCCTCCTGTCAAGGTCCTACCTTTTCCCAGAGGTTATGCTGCTCCATGTGCTGGCATCCATCTTGCGTTTCTGCAAAGCATGGTGGGAGCCTTTTATGCTTTCAGGCCTCTGCGGTCCATCCCCCAGAGGGGTGTGGTTGAGCACATTTAAGCCTGTTGTCTGCAGTTGCGCTTTGCATTCGTGTCCTGTTTGATAGTGTTGTTGCAAGCTCTTATTCTACTCTCGTGGCTCTCCTGGAGACTGACTCGGCTTTGTCTAAGACTATTCTCAGCCTTATCCCTTTATCTGACCTCCCGTTGCTGAACCCGGCTTGTGACCCGTGTCTTCTTGTCTACCGTTCGGTACTGTCTGTCCCGCTGTTATCGACCCGGCCTGTCCGACCACGCTATCGTTCTTATCTGGTTCCTACCAGCTATACGCCATTGGCGGGGGCCATTACCGCAGCTGGGGTTTCTCGGGGGCCGCGACCTGGTTCCTGGCTGTGTCAAGTCCATCCCCACAATCAGGGCCTTGGTGAAGGGCAGCCTGGGGCTTAGACTCCGCACCCTGAGGCACTCCGGTCTGTTGGTGGTTGTCGTCAGTCGGTGCGTGACACTGCCATTAGGCCTGCCTGTCCATTCCACAGCTCCTGCCCTGACACCTCCTCTTCTGGGATTCCCTACTGGAACTTCTGGCTCCTCCCCCTTTAAGGGAGCCTTGGGCTCTGTGTGTCCATTGACACAGACAGTGCAGCTCGGCCCCTGCCCCCTCCTTACAGGCTGTGGTTGATAGCATGAACTGATGGCACCCACGTCTTCCTCCATGTCCAGTGAGGAGAGAGAGAGGACAGAGCTGCTGCTCTTGGGCACAGCGCTGGATCAAGACAGGGCTCAGGTAAGTATAATGAGTGGGGCAGCTGGAGAGGGAAAAGAACACAGAAGGTTTTATACCTTAATGCATAAAATGCATTAAGGGAAAAAAACCTTCTACCTTTAGAACCATAGAGTAATAGAATTCTTGAAATAGTTGCCTAGCCCGGGGAAAATGCTGCTTTAAAGGCTAACTCCATCTTTTGCATAACAATATAAAACACACCCATATTTGAAGCAAAAGATGTTCCTTTATTTATTTTTGCAAATAAGCTGGCAAAGCATTCTAGCTCAGGTCCATATTAAGATACAGACTTTTATTTACTGAGATCCTGAAGGAAGTGTCAATGGACTGCGAGTACGGTATTTGCCACACTTGGGATCCATTGAAAACTACCAGGCTGTCTGCCAGAGTGATCTCTGTGAATGAATGACACACAAAGCCCCCCAAAACTCAAAGGTGACAGCTGCCACAGGGGAAAAGAACCTCTGATTGCTGTCTGTGTGTGAGGGAAGTCAGTTTGAGGCTAGGGAGGGTCTGCTTACAACTATGTTACACTCTAAATATGGGTCTAATAGGTGAAATTAGCCTTTAAGATCTGTTCACTGCTGGCCATATTTCTGAAGGCCTAGGCCAGTCATGCTCACTTAGGGTTCCTCCAGCGGTTGCTAAGGGTTCCTGAGTGACTGAGATCCTATTTAGTGGTTGCTGACATCTCATCCCATGGTTTCCTAGTTAGTCTGGCTGAAAAAAGACAAAAGTCCATCCAGTTCAACCATAGAAAAAAAAAAGTTATAATCCTACACCCACAACTGATCCAGAGAAATCCAAAAAAACCCAGCAAAGCATGATCCAATTTGCTCCCGCTGGGAAAACAAATTCCTTCCTGATCCCACGAGAGGCAATCGGATATTCTCTGGATCAACTTTACCTATAATTGTTAGTATCCAGTTATATTCTGTGTATCCAAGAAACAATCCAGGACTTTTTTAAAGCAATCCACTGAGCTGGCCAGAACCAACTCTTGAGGGAGTCTATTCCACATTTTCAGAGCTCTCACTGTGAAGAAACCTTTCTGTGTTTGGAGATTAAATTTATTTTCCTCCATATGTAAAGAGTGCCCTTCAATGGTACGTATGTAGTTCTGGGGCCAACACCACTTGGCAGATCTAGCTGCAGGGCAGTGATGTTTTTAGCTGTCTCTAAGGGTGGTATTCTGATGATCACTATAAGAGAGCCTACTTTACAATGGCTGCCAATGTAAGGGGCATTTTTGCCATTGGCCCCCAATGAACTAGTTTTACCAGGGGTTCCCTGAGACCAAATAATTATTTAAAAGTTTACTTTAGAGTAAAAAAGTTGAGAAAGGCTTGCCCCGGTCATGTGATCTCTGCTAAAGGGGAGCTTTAGTGCTCAAATTGTCCGATCCTCGCCTTCAGCAAAGATCATGTGACCAAAATCTTAGATCTTCATCCATGCGGCCACTACTGAAAATAACCAGCAAAAGGATGTTTAACTCTTTACATATACTGTATGTCCATGTCCCAGCAAGACTGCTAACAAAGCTTTACATTAATATCTGAGAACAAAGTCTAGCTTTTTTTTTAGACAAGTCATACCTGGGTTGAAGGAGAAAATAATGTTCAGCAAATCCTGGTCTCCCCATGTGATGTAGTTTTTATATTTTTGGTACAATGGGTGCAGCATCTCTTCCCAGGTCAAACCAGCTGGGATCATATTGTTCTGAAAATAAATACATTTCATGTTATAGCGGAGCTGTAGGCAAATCACAATGGACAGATTTTTAGACCTAGCCAAAATGCGTTAAGCAGGACACAAGTTTGCTACAATTTGAATTTTGCTGCAGAAGATCTCTGGATTGCAGGCACAGAAGTCAAAATAATTCATGTCAATAGACTCGCCTTATCCTGATCCAAATATCTTGTGATCGTGGAGTTTTTTACATTTTTGATAAGATGAGATGGTTTCTAAATGGAGCTGACTTGTCGGTTGACCTCTCAGAGGGAAACAATCATCATTTTGTTACCTTAGTTTGCCTACCCTGACACCTTACACAACTGAAAAAATGTATCAGCTGCACTCCAAGTATGTAAAGTAACTTACCCAAATCCAGAGATCTTCTCAAGACTCGCCCCTCCTGTATATGGACAATTTGGATGCTGGCCACTGTAGTCGTCCTTCACCCCCATCAGAAATATGAAAACAGGTATCAGCTGCATTCCACTCTTAGCTCATCTTGCCGTATTTATAAGTTGTCAACAAAATGACTGCATACAACAATGTCTCCACCTGGGAACCAACCGGCTTGCTCACAAGGACAGGGGAAGTCTTCCCCTAAACCAGTGCTGGCTTGCTCACAAGGATAGGGGAGGTCTTCCCCTACCCACTCCTGGCTTGCTCACAAGGACAGGGGAAGTCTTCCCCTACCCACTCCTGGCTTGCTCACAAGGACAGGGGAAGTTTTCCTCTAAACCACTCCTGGCTTGCTCACAAGGGAAAGGAGAGGTCTTCCCCTAAACCACTCCTGGCTTGTTTACAAGGACAGGGAAAGTCTTCCCCTCAACCAGTCCTGGCTTGCTCACAAGGATAGGGGAAGTCTTCCCCTAAGCCACTCCTGGATTCCTCGCAAGGATAGGGGGAAGTCTCCTAAACCAGTCCAGGCTTCCTTGCAAGGATAGGGGGAAGTCTCCTAAACCAGTCCTGGCTTGCTTGCAAGGATAGGGGAAGTCTCCTAAACTAGTCCTGGCTTTCTTGCAAGGATAAGGGAAGTCTCCTAAACTAGTCCTGGCTTGCTTGCAACGATAGGGGAAGTCTCCTAAACTAGTCCTGGCTTGCTTGCAAGGATAGGGGAAGTCTCCTAAACTAGTCCTGGCTTGCTTGCAAGGATAAGGGAAATCTCCTAAAACAGTCCTGGTTTGCTTGCAAGGATAGGGGAAGTCTTCCCCTTAACCAGTCCTGGGTTGCTCACAAGGATAGGGGAAGTCTTCCCATAAGCAACTCCTGGATTTCTTGCAAGGATAAGGGAAGTCTCCTAAACCAGTCCTGGCTTGCTTGCAAGGATAGGGGAAGTCTCCTAAACCAGTCCTGGCTTGCTTACAAGGATAGGGGAAGTCTCCTAAACTAGTCCTGGCTTGCTTACAAGGATAGAAGTCTTTCCCTAAACTATTCCCAGCTTGCCCGCAAGGATAGGGGAAGTCTTCTCCTACACCAGTCCTGGCTTGCTCACAAAGATAAGGGAAGTCTTCCCCTCAACCAGTCCTGGCTTGTTCACAAGGATAGGGGAAGTCTTCCCCCTAAGCCACTCCTGGATTCCTCAAAAGGATAGGGGAAGTCTCCTAAACCAGTCCTGGCTTGCTTGCAAGGATAGGGGGGTCTCCTAAACCAGTCCTGGCTTGCTTACAAGGATAGGGGAAGTCTTCCCCTAAACCATTCTCAGCTTGCCCGCAAAGGATAGGGAAAGTCTTCTCCTAAACCAGCCCTGGCTTGCTCGCAAGGATAGGGGAAGTCTTCTCCTAAACCACTCCTAGCTTGCTCGCAAGGATAGGGGAAGCTGATACATGCTTTCATATTTCTGATGGGGGGTGAAAAAGGACTACAGTGGCCAGCACCCAAACTGTCCATCTACAGGAGGGGCGAGTCTTGAGAAGAGCTGTGGATTTGGGTATATTACCTTACATAGAGCAATAGACTGCACAGGAAAGTGAAGTCAAATATTTCAATACGTGTGCTGTTGCACCTGTATAGATATAGAGGTAGTTTTAAAAAAGGCTCTTCCTGTACAAAAGGGTGTCAAAAGGGTCATTATACAGTACAGGGTCTTCACCCCCCAGGAGTGACATTGTGCGCTTCCACATTTGCCATTGCTTAAAGACGGGCCAAGCGTGGCGTTAGGAATTGGACCACTCCATCTACTTACATTAATTCCCCTGGTCTAACGCAAAAGCATTCTGAGTAAAGGTGTAGCACAGTTTGAGAAAAGGTGCTGAATGCTTTGTGCCTGCTTCTAGTACCCACTGTATATTTGATACATGAAAGAAAATCATGCAGATGCTTTGTTTCCTGCATTTTTAACCCCATAGATGTGAAAAATGCATGTACAGCACATTTTTTTGAATAACAAGTCTCCTCCTCCTATCAACATCTAGAGAAGGGCACACCATGCTTGATATTGAAGAACTAATACAACTTGTGAAGGCAAGGACACTGCTCCACGATCCTAGCAATGACAATTATAAGGATCACTGCAAGTGCCAGAGGGAACTGGGAGGACATTTCCCTTAAGGCTGATACAGAATGGAATACAGAATCTTCTCCGCCTCTTGTCTTGCCTCTATTGACAGTAAGACAGTAGCTGTGCCTGCTAGGAAAAAAAAAAAAAAGAAAAACATGGCATAGCAGACATGATTGCTCAGATACAACAAACCTTCCTAAACGTCAAGCTGTTTGACATTAAAGTGGTAATAAATGCAAAAGCAAACATTTATTATATTGCTGCTTACAAATTTTTAGATGTGATAGCTGCATTAGTTTCCATCCAATTTGTGATTGTATTCAAATCTGTTAATATCTGATGAGCACACCCCTTATGAATACTTGCTATTGCACGAAACACGTAGAGGAGGAGCTATACGCGGTGACGTCACGCGCCGAGACCATGAGGAGGTCCGGCGGCCATCTTTAAAATCTTTATATGGGTCAGTGACAGCTCATTTACTTTATATTTTTTGTACTTTTACCCACAATAAACGTACATTATTGAAAAGTACTACACTACGGGCATTCTTCTTTCTGGCTCTGTATGAGCCAACATCACCTTAGAGCCCATTTCCGGAGGACGGCAGTGGTGTGTGGCAGATTACCTAGAGGAAGTGGATCTCTTGGACCTGGCCAAGCTGCTGATTACCTTTAAGGGAGACCTCCGGCTCATTTACATTGCGTATTATGATTGTCTATCTGGTGAGTGTGCAGTCTTAGCATTCCTTTGGGCACATCACCTGAATGATTATTTGGAGCACACAGATCACCTATTAGAGACGATCTTGATGATCTTTCACCATTATTTTTGAACTTTATATGTTCCTTATCAGTGGTGTCTCGCAATATATTATATATATAGTGCTCACTACTGTCACATATATGGCACTTTATGCAGATTGTTTTTGATGTGAACTGCACTAAGTCACTTTATGGGCACTTTATTAACTTTTTTATTATCATCGATTGACATTCTTGTGATATTAGTATACAATACTTTTAGAGCTGCACCTTGTGTTTTAAATCTGTTAATACATTTAACACTCCTATCACCCACAGACTGACAATGCTACTGTCTGCTGTGTCCTGTGCTCATTCCTCCAAAGTGGTGTCTCACTAACACTGGAGATACAGTTGCAAGAAAAGTTTGTTGTCAATGATGGGAAAATGAATTCCAGAGTTTATCAAGACATTTTGCAGGAAAACGTATGACCATCTGTCCACCAACTGAAGCTCCGCAGAGGATGGGTGATGCAACAGGACAATGACCCAAAGCATACAAGGAATTCAACAAAACAATGGCTGCAACAGCACAGAATACGCCTTCTGGAGTGGCCCAGTCAGAGTCCTGACCTCAACCCGATTGAAATGCTGTGGCATGACCTTAAGAGAGCGATTTACACCAGACATCCCAAGAATATTGCTACACTGAAACAGTTTTGTGAAGAGGAGTGGTCCAAAATGACTCCAGATCGTTGTGCAGGTCTGATCTGCAACTACAGGAAACGTTTGGTTGAGGTTATTGCTGCCAAAGGAGGGTCAACCAGTTATTAAGTCCAAAAGTTCACATACTTTTTCCTCCCTGCACTGTGAAAGTTTACATGTTATGTGCAATTAAACCATGGCAACATCTAATGTTTGTGTAGTATTATGTTCAGCAGACTGTGTTCTTCTATTGTTGTGACTTAGATGACGTTCAGAGCACATTTTATGCCCAATTCATGCAAAACTCCACGTAATCCCAAGGGGTTCACATACTTTTTCTCGCAACTGTATGTTACTGGCCAGATCACCAGGTGAAAACAGAGAAGGGAAAAAAGCCAAAGAAAACTGATGCAGCTACCACATCTAATGATTGGTAAACTGCACTATATTACATTTTTAATTTTGGGCTAACCTGAAACTTTTGCACATGCAGTGTAAAAGCTTGCCATACACATGGCTCCTGTACAAGACAAAGCTCATATGTACGAGGCCTAACAGTTCTGCCACCTTCCTCCACAATGCTCTGAAGGGACATTCTGAAAAACCTGGTGCTTCCAGGTATGGAGAACATGGATACACAAAAATCCTTCCTGGCACAATACGAGCGCCTACTTTCAGAAGCCTGCATTTGTATAGGATTTAAGAGAAACCTCCAGTGGCCCTCAGTTTGGGGGGAGGGCAGTGTTAGATGTACTAGCATATTTAGATACACTAACAAATTAAAGCCAAACTCCAGCTAATGCTTTATAAGCAGTTACAGCAACAGCTTTTTTCTCGTTAAAGGTTTTTCCTTAAATAAAAGCTCATTGTTGCAAGCACCACTGTCAGTGGTAAATGGTTTGTCTCAACACTCTAACTGATAATTTGGCAGAGCAGCTTGTTCTGCTGAAAAACCACAGACTTACTGACTGGATCATCAGGTGAAAATAAGGGAAAGAAAGCCTAAAAAAACAAAACTAATGCAGTCATCATATCTAAGAATT